CACTCTTCTAGATTGGTGCAATCCTTTTTCTGAACTTTTCTGTGCTTTTTTTTTTTGCATTCTGTGTCCTCATTGTATTACTCCAGGGTTTAGAGGTGGGTTTTTTTTGGAAGGAAATGGTTAATATCCGTGTGGCCGTGATTATCGCGGTGATTCCTGCCAAAATACCAAGGAGGAACAGAAGTTGCGTAGCGTGGTACAAGGGGATTTTGCCAGAGGCCGAAAGAAGAACGCACATAGGAAAAGGGGATCTGGGCTGATCCTTAGCAGGCACGGATGGCTTCCCAAAGGAAATAATTAGAAAACTTTTGGGAAGATGTGATGCAGTAGCAGCCGTGCGGTAGGAAACAAACCGGCGCTGGACGAAATAGGAGGATTGGGACCGTCCGACTGTTGGCAGAAGAACTTGGTCTGGTTTGAGAGGCGCCTTCAGCGGCTCCTTCAAGGGTGGCTGGGCTGTTCCGTGTCGTTAGCTCAGAGTTAGGTGTTCCGTTACTGCTTTTACACTTAGGAGTGCATCAAGTGTTTGCATCAGCTGGAAACCTGGGAGAAGCTTAAATTAAGGCTCCGTGTCTTGGGTCAGCATCTTCTTCCGGGCACAACGCAGTCTTTACTAGAGCGTTTTAACGCAAATTCTTGCTGAATTAATTTGCTGTGCTTATGGCGCGAGACGAACGCTCGCATCTGACGCGTTAGTTTGACAGGTGACAAGACCGTTACGTGCTGGGGACTGCCCCGCTTCTTCCTTCGCGTCACCGTTTTTGCGCCTGGGAACGCAATCGTGGATTTTTAGTGAAAAAAATGGCCTCAGAGTTATCCCTGGGGAGCGCTGGGGTGGACGCGGGTGCAGGCAGCAGAGGGTCGGTGTGACGTCGCGCTGAGCTAGGGAGAGGTCGGCATGACACCATTTGTGGTCTTGAGAGCGCGAGGCGTGACGTAAGAGTTCCCCCCCGACCCCATCAGTCGGGACTGAAGCGCGGGCGGAGGCCGGGCTGCGTCCCTGGATCGTGACGACGCGGAGGCGCAGTCTGGCGTCACGGCGACGTCACGCGGAGGCGGGGAGAGCCGGTCGTGTGTTCCCCCCACCCCTCGCCCCGCCCGGGGCGGTGCGTTGCCAGGCTACCGGACGCCGGGCGCGAGGCGGGAGG